CGGCGCCGCAAGACGGCCTCAAGATTGCCCTCAAGGCTCCCAAGACGGCCCAAGAGGCCCCCACGACGCCCGAAGAGGACTCCTGGAATCCCCAAGATGCAAGCATCGCCCCATTCCCGAAGGAACACATCCATGTTTAGCATCTTCGCCTTCTGTGTCGTAGCAGCGTCCAAGACGACCCAAGAAGCCTGCGAGATCGCCGCAAGGCGGCCCAAGAGGCCCCCAAAAGGGCTTCAAGCTGGGCCAAAAACACCCCAAGGCAGCCCCAAGACGGCCGCAAGGAAGCTCACTAGGCCCCCAAAGCTCCCAAGAGAGACCCACGAGGGCCATGGGAGGTCCACAAGAGGGCCCCAGTTTTCCAGGAGAGCGCCTCCAGACGGCCCTCAAGGCCCCCAAGACGGCCCAGGAGGCCCCAACGACGCCCCAAGAGGCCCCCAGGAGAGTCCCCAAGAGGCAAAAATCGTTCCACTCCCTGCGGAAAGCGAGCATGTTTAGCATCTTCGCTTTCTGTGTCGTCGCAGCGTCCAAGACGGCCCAAGAAGCCTGCGAGGTCGCCCCAGGGCTGCCCGAGGGGCCCCCAAGAGGGCGTCGAGCCGGGCCTACCAAAAACCTAAGGCAGCCCCAAGACGGCCCCAAAGAAGCTCACGAGGCCCCCAGATGCTCCAAAGAGAGACCCACGAGGGCCATGGGAGGTCCACAAGGGGGCCCCAGTTTTTCAGGAGGGCCCCACTTCGGCGCAAGACGGCCTCCAGACGGCCCAGAGGCCGCAAGACGGCCCAAGAGGCCCCCACGACGCCCCCAGAGGATCTCAGGAAAGCCCCCAAGAGGCAAACATCGCCCCGTTCCCGAAGGAAACCATACAGTTTCAGCATCTTCGCTTTCTGTGTCGTAGCAGCGTCCAAGACGGCCCAAGAAGCCTGCGAGGTCGCTCCAAGGCGGCCCAAGAGGCCCCCAAGCTTCAAGCCGGGCCAAGAGCACCCTAAGGCAGCCCCAAGACGGCCCCAAAGATGCTCACGAGGCCCCCAAAGGCTCCCAAGAGAGACCCACGAGGGCCATGGTAGGTCGACAAGAGGGCCCCAGTTTTCCAGGAGGGCCCCACGGCGGCGCAAGACGGCCTCCAGACGGCCCTCAAGGCCCCCAAGACGGCCCAAGTTCGGGCCCCCTGGGCTGCTCGGAAGCCCCCCCGCGGGCTCTGCTCGGACGCCCGTGTAGAGGGCTCCTTCGTCGCCCTAGCTTTCTCGGAGGGTCTAAAGAGGCTTCCAACATTGCCCAAGGCAGCTCGTCGACGGCTCCGAAGCACACCAAAATGCCCAAGAGGCGTCTAAGTCGCACCCCATAGCTTAAGATCGTTCATGTTTTTTCGATGCTTGAAGGCTTTCGGCGTCCTCGCCTTCTCGCGCTTCCACGCTCCAAGACGGCCCAAGAAAGGCCAAGAACCGCTCCAAGAGAGGCTCAAAACGATCCACGCGGGCTTCAAGACGGCCCATGAAGCCCCCCAAAGGCTTCCCAAACGACCCAAGCGGGTCCGTAAACGGCCCAAGAGAACGTCAAAACGGCCCCCAACCAGACCAAAACGGGCCAAGACAGCCTCAAGAAGGCTCCAACAAAAGCCCAGGACATGGAACACGAACTCGCATTCCGAACCTATCGCTTCAAAACCGCCCCAGGATCTTCCCAGGGGCTTCCCCAGCGCCTCCGCGACGCCCCAAGAAGCCCTGTTTTTTGCGTCTTGGGAGTGCTCTTGGAGGCCTCTTGGGGCGTCTTGGATGCCTTCTGGGGCTGTCTGGGTGCCACCTTGGGCGTCTTGGAGCGATCATCGGGCGTCTCGGACCCCTCTTGGACCGTATGGGGGGCCTATTGGGGCCTTCTGGGGCAATCCTGAGAGCCTTGAAGACGGGCCCAGGAGTTCTGGCATCTTTGAGCAGCAGGGCCCAGGATACTTTTGGACCGGGCACCCCCAGGGGCTGCCACGCGCGCGCGAGCTAGACATTTCCTGAACCTGTCACCGGAGCTCTTTCTGGCCCGTTGGGCCGCCGAATTTGTACGTTACTCCCCGCGCGCGCAGGCGCGTGTCCCTGTATTTGCACATGGATACATACATGTATGTGTGTACACGTAGAGATATACAAGTAGGCATGATACATATGTATGCGCACCCACCGTTCGACGTTATACCATATATATATATATATAAATATTCATAGCAACATGCACTTACACACATATGTGATCACTATACAGATAATTATATATATGTATAAATAAATAGATGTATCTATGTATGCATGCACGTGCGCGTGTACACATGCATGCGCCTAGTCATGCGCGAATGTACACGCGCACGCACGCCGCCTGCGCGCGAAACTCAAGGGACAAGCGTGCATGGCGAGACGCGCCAACGCAGTCTTATATATATAGAGATATATACAGATATACATATTGTGTATCCTCCTCCTCATCATTATCACTATCATCATCACCGTCGTCGTCATCATCACCACCATCACCACCATCATCATCATCATCATCATCATCATCATCATCATCATCATCATCATCATCATCATTTTCATCATCATCATCATCATCATCATCGCCATCGCCACCATCACCATCATCACCATCGTCATCATCATCACCATCATCATCATCATCATCGTCATCATCATCGCCATCGCCACCATCACCATCCCCACCATCGTCATCATCATCACCATCACCACCATTATCAGCATCACAATCATCATCATCGCCATCATCACCATCATCACCATCATCACCATCGTCACCATCATCATCATCAGCATCATCACCATCATCACCATCATCACCACCACCATCGTCATCATCACCATCAGCATCATCACCATCATCACCATCATCACCACCACCATCGTCCTCGTCATCATCACCATCATCACCATCATCACCACCACCCTCATCATCGTCATCATCACCATCATCACCATCATCAGCAGAAGCATCATCTGCTGGAGTTCCGGGGGCCCGGCCCGGGCCAGGACACCCTCCCAGGCACCGGAAATCGGGACCCCCGTTCAGGGCTTCCTGGGCCTCCCTCCGGCGGCCCAAAAGAGTTTTTCAGGAGGGAAAGGACACACAGACATAATGAATCGTCGGTTCCCCAGGAAAGATGTGAAAATATGGGCAGTGGGGGGGAAGACAAAAACCCAGAAAATACAGGAAAACATTGGGAATCTTTGTATTTGTGTATCTTTATTCTCTTGCACAGCTGTGCTCTAGAGCTCGGACCTCTTTACTTTCGTGGTTCGTTCGTTCGTGGTTCGTCGTCCTCCCTGGCCCTCTCAGTCCCTGGATCCCACCCTCCCCCGAGCCTCCCAGGATCACCCGCTGGCCTGCCCCTGGCCTCCCCCGGAGCCTCCCGGGCCTCCCAGGATCATCACCCGTGGTTCGTTCGTTCGTGGTTCGTCGTCCTCCCTGGCCCTCTCGGGCCCTGGACCCCCCCCTCCCCCGGGCCTCCCAGGATCACCCGCTGGCCTGCCCCTGCTTGAGCCCTCGACCCCTCCTTCCCCCGAGCCTCCCAGGGCAGCCCCCCTGGGCCGCCGAGCCTTTATTTTCGTGGTTCGTTCGTTCGTGGTTCGTCGTCCTCCCTGGCCACCTCGGGCCCTGGACCCCCCCCTCCCCCGGGCCTCCCAGGAGCTGGCCTGCCCCTGCTACCCCTCCTTCCCAGGGCAGCCCCCCTGGGCCGCCGAAGCCTTTATTTTCGTGGTTCGTTCGTTCGTGGTTCGTCGTCCTCCCTGGCCCTCTCGGGCCCTGGACCCCCCCCTCCCCCGGGCCTCTCAGGATCACCCGCTGGCCTGCCCCTGCTTGCCTGGCCCTCGACCCCTCCTTCCCCCGGGCCTCCCAGGGCAGCCCCCCTGGGCCGCCGAAGCCTTTATTTTCGTGGTTCGTTCGTTCGTGGTTCGTCGTCCTCCCTGGCCACCTCGGGCCCTGGACCCCCCCCTCCCCCGGGCCTCCCAGGATCACCCGCTGGCCTGCCCCTGCTTCCCTGGGCCCTGGACCCCTCCTGCCCACGGGCCTCCCAGGGCAGCCCCCCTGGGCCGCCGAAGCCTTTATTCTCTTGCACAGCTGTGCTCTAGAGCTCGGACATCTTTACTTTCGTCGTCGTTCGTTCGTTCGTTCGTCCCCCTGGGCCCTCCCCTTGGGACCCCTTGGGACCCCCTGGGCCTCCCCCCGCTTCTCTGGGCCACCTCCCCGTGGATCCCCTGGGCCTCCCCCCGCTTCTCTGGGCCACCTCCACGTGGAGGCTCTCTGGGCCTCCTCCTCCTCCTCCTCCTCCTCCTCCTCCTCCTCCTCCTCCTCCTCCTCATCCTGTCCAGGCTGGAGACCCCTCCGTCCAGGCTTCCCAGGGCCCCTCCGTCCAGGCTTCCCAGGGCAGCCCCCCTCCGTCCAGGGGCGCTGTTGCCACCTGGGTCCGTCACGAACGCATCTTGGGCCACTCTGCTGGAGTCGGTGGACTACCCAGCTCGTGCTCGAAATCAATTTCGACCCAGGCATATTCCGTATGGAGGTCTCCCTTCATTCGGGTACCCTTCTCCCTCATCCTGCTCCTCCTGCTCCTCCTGCCGAGCCTCCCAGGATCACCCGCTGGCCTGCCCCTGCTTCCCTGGGCCCTGGACCCCTCCTGCCCACGGGCCTCCCAGGGCAGCCCCCCTGGGCCGCCGAAGCCTTTATTCTCTTGCACAGCTGTGCTCTAGAGCTCGGACCTCTTTATTTTCGTCGTCGTTCGTTCGTTCGTTCGTCATTCGTCCTCCCCCCCACCCCCCGGCCACAGAAGGAAACTCCTGGAGGAAGGAGGCGAATGCCTCCTGTCCCTCTCAGCTCCTTGGTGCAAGAGCTAGGGCACGCGTGCCACTTGTTTGTGTGTCCCAGGGCCCCTTCACAGTTGTGTGGAGCGAATGCAAAAACGACCAGAGCTTCAAGACGGCCCAAGTGGATCAGATCCCCCAAGGGTGTCTCAGGATCTCGGCTGCAGGGTGCAGGGGGCGTGCCAGCCACAGTCGTTGTTGCGCCGATGCCCTGGGAGGCAGTCTAGTTTCGGGCGGGTAGTCAAAGACTTTTCTGCCTTGCTGGCTCGCGGGCACGAAGCCTCGCATGGCTGAGCCGCAGGACCTGGCCGATCCCGTCGATTGACGTTTGTGTCGGCCAGTCTTGGCCTTTTTCCGAGGCGCCAGAGCCAGCGTGCGAGAGGGTTGCTGTTGCCGCACGTCCTGCCTCAGCTTTAGCGCCTCCTACCGAGGCAGTTGACAGGAGGTACGAGCAGGCGGGGTCTCATCAACTTGAAAAAGTCACGACGTCGGAGGCCTGGGTGCGTGGAGGTCCCCAGCGGTCACACAGGGCCTCCTGCAGCGTCTGGTGGCCCCCAAGCTGTCGAACATTGGATATATTCGGTCCTCGAACTTTGGACCTCGATCATCGATCTTCGGCGACGGACAGTAAGGAAGGAGGAGTGCATGAGCAAAGATGGTGACGTTGATGAGGAGGAGGACTTGGAGGAGGAGGAAGAGCAGGAGGAGGAGGAGGAGGAGGAGGAAGAGCAGGAGGATGGTTGTTCCTCTGCGAGCCGTGAGGCAGGACCGAGGGGGCCAACAGTTGAGCCCACGATCGAGGTCGCGCTCTGTGAGCGACCTCCCTGAGACAAACGAGTCCGACGCTGTTCGTCGGACCACGCGGCGGGCAGCCGGCTCAGCCCAGGAGGAGGAGGAGGAGGAGGAGGAGGAGGAGGAGGAGGAGGACAAGCCCTAAGGGCGCGGGATACAGATGCCAAAGGACGAGCCCGTCCAATGGCCCAGGGGAACGGAGGCGCAGCCTGCATCGCGCCTCTCCCGCCACAGGCAGGGCCCATGGTCCGCGCGGCCAGTCGGTGGGTCGGCAGGCTGGGCACCGCCCACGGAGAAAGCACCACGGGCAGCACGGGACGAGAGCGAGGGGGATGCAGTAATGTAAAGTCCAGCCTGGCGACAGCCGAAGCAGGGCTATCCCTTCAAAGCACGGCCACGAGTCAGAGTCATCCGCATATCCAGCCGTGACAGCAGTTGCTTCACTTTACCATTCTGACGTAGCACCCCGCAGATGCGGATAAGAGTGAGGGGGCGGTGGGGACGTCGGCAGTTTGCGAGACTCTGGAGAAGCCCGCCGTAGGCACAGAAGCTTCACAAATTATGCAACGAGCCCGCCGCAGGCGCAGATTTTTTCGTTATACCAAATCTGGGTAGGTCGCGGGTGGGTCGCAAATGGGTCGCGGGTGGGGCGCGGGTGTAGAGGGTAGAAAATCCACCCCGTAATAATCACCCCGACAAGCGAAGCCGTTTAGTAAACGCACACAAGGAATGAATCGAACATGGCAGGGCTGTTAAGTCAACGCCAAGGGCCGTTTAGTAAACGTCAACTGTCGGGTCCGGTGGTTTTTCCGCCTTTGAGGGTTGGTCGCGGGGTGGGTCGCGAGCGGGTCGCGGGGTGGGTCGCGGGTGGGTCGCGGATGGGTCGCGGATGGGTCGCGGGGTGGGTCGCGGGCGGGTCGCGGGGTGGGTCGCGGGGTGGGTCGCGGGGTGGGTCGCGGGTGGGTCGCGGGGTTGGTCGCGAGTGGGTCGCGGGTTGGGTCGCGGGTGGGTCGCGGGGTGGGTCGCGTGGTTGGTCGCGGGGTGGGTCGCGGGGTGGGTCGCGGGGTGGGTCGCGGGTGGGTCGCGGGTTGGACGACGACAACAAACAGCAACGATGTTTCCACAGGAAGCATGCGACCATCATGCTAACCATCCACATCATGGGGGACTCTTGTTCTATAGCGGGGTCCGTCATTCCCATTCCCAGATCTCCCGCCCAATGAGGTCTTGCAAACACCTCCTCCGAGGAATTTCAACATATCCCGCCTCGAAAACACATGGCCGCGCCTTGCTGCGCCGATGCGAAACCGCCAGTGGAACCCCAGCGAAGTGGAAAGCACAAGGAAGTATCGAACGACAAGATTGCCTTGGTGGGGATGAGGGTTGTCGGCGGTGAGGCAAGCACCTGGCCCTGAATAGAAAGGGAGGAAGTCTCGAGCAGGGCTGCTGTTGTTGCTGGGAGCGGCGCCAATGTTAAAGAGAGTAGAGGGCTAGTCCAGCGTAAAGCAAAACGAAGTCTCGAGAGGGAACGCTGGTTTTGTTGGGACGGCGGCTTTCGGCGGCGAGGAGGAACACCGCCTTGAGAAAGAAAGGTGGAAACATCGAGCGGGAGCCGTGCTTTTGTCGGGACGGAAGCTGTCGGCGGCGAGGAACAGCACCGTCCCGAGGAAAAAATAATCAGGACATCTCGAGCGGGAGCGTGGTGCTTGCTGGGAGCGGCGCCAATTCAAAAGAGAAAAGGGCGCCAGGTCAGCGTAAAACGGAAGGAAGTCTCGGGCGGGAGCGCTGGTTTTGTCGGGTGGCGGTTTTCGGCGGCGAGGAGGAACACCGCCTTGAGTAACAAGGGAGGAAGCATCGAGCGGGAGCCGTGGTTTTGTCGGGACGGGGGCTGTCGACGGCGAAGAAGAGCACCGGCTTCAGGAAGAAAGGAGGAAGCCTCGAGCGGGAGCGTTGTTCTTGCTGGGAGCGGTGCCAATTCAAAAGAGAATAGGGCGCCAATCCAGCGTAAAACGGAAGTCTCGGGCGGGAGCGCCAGTTTTGTCGGGGCGATGGTTTTCGGCGGCGCGGAGGAGCACCGCCTTGAGCGGGAGCGTTGCTTTTGCTGGGGGCGGCGCCGATGAGAGAAAGACTAGCGCGCCAGTCTAAGGTAAAGCGGGAGGAATTCTCGAGCGTCGGCGGCGAGCAAGAACACCAGCCCTGAGTAAAGAAGGAGGAAGTCTCGAGCGGGAGCGTTGTTGTTGTTGTCGTTGTTGTTGTTGTTGTTGCTGTTGTTGTTGTTGTTGCTGTTGTTGTTGGTGTCGTTGTTGTTGTTGTTGTTGTTGTTGTTGTTGTTGTTGTTGTTGTTGTTGTTGTTGTTGTTGTTGTTGTTGTTGTTGTTGTTGTTGTTGTTTGGGGGACGGTTTTGGCGGTCCCCCAAACCGCTTGAGCGTGAGCCGCATTTTCAATGACAATATGTAGCCGGCGCCTCGGTGAGAGCGCTAAAGCGCCTTCAAGATGTCCAACAATAATATTTGTTTTTAGTAATTAACACTCAACAGCAACAACAGCAACAACAACAATCATTCTAAGACTGTTCGCTTTTACTTACCCGTGTGTCGTTCAAAACGAGTTCGTTCAAAACGATTTCCCCACACCCTCGATGCCCGCCCTTTCTTTTCTTCGATACCCCCTTTGGGGGGATTGTTTCTCTTTGCGGGGGGCGGCGGGCTTAAACAGGCGGGCAAACCTGAACGTGCGGACGATTCTTGGTGGGCGTACATGTGCCCGCCATTGGAATTGGTGTGGGCCTTGCAAAAGCAGGAGGGGGAGAACGAGGGAGAGTGGGAGGAAGGGAAGGGGAGGGACGAAGGAAACGAGAAAACGCCAGGAGAGAAGGAGCGAAGAAGGGGGCGGTTGATGAGAGGCAGAGAGAGAGAGAGAGGGAAAGAGACAGATAAAAGAGAGGTAGAGAAACAGAGAGAGAGAGAGACACACACACAGAGAGGGGAGAGAGAGAGAGAGAGGGAGAGAGAGAGAGAGAACAAACAAAAAATAATGAAAGAGGGAGGGAGGAGGCAGGTGAGGGGAGGGATAATGGAGGAGGGAGAGGAGGGAGAGAAGATAGGACAGAGAGGCATGAGGATGAGGGAGGAGAGGAGGGAGACAGAAGGAAGGAGAGGAGGGAGGAGGGAGGAGGGAGAGGGAGGAGGAGCAGGAAGGTAAGAGCGTAAACGTTCGAGGAAATCCTAGGCGAAAGCGCCGTTCCTGAAGGAAGTTTCGGGCGGGAGCCCACGACGGGCGGTCGATCCCCTGACGGGCGGGTCGGGCGGGTGGGACATTCAAGCGGGATGCCTGAATACGGCGAAAGCGCGATTATTCAGTCGATTGTAACGGCGTCCTTGGCGCAGCGTGTTTCCTGAGCGTCGAAAGCGCGATTTCTGCATACATTGCATGGAAGTAACAGGCGAGAGCGCACTTCCTTAATAAATTGTGAGGGGCTCTCTGGCGGGAGCGGGGGTCTTGATTAAATTGCGAAGAAGTCTTGATTCAACTGCGAGGAAGTCTCAAGCTGGAGCGCCGTTCCTGAGTAAATTGTGAGGAAGACTCAGATGGGAGCGGGGGTCCTGAATTAATTGCGAGGTCATAGGCGGGAGCATCGATCCTGAGTAAATTGTGAGGAAATCTCAGGAGCGGGGGTTCTGAGTAAATTTGGAGGAAGTCTCAGGCGGGAGTCGTTGTTGTTGCAATCCGGGGGGCCAGGGGCCCAGTTTGAGCAGGAATTTCTTCTTTGTCAAAAAGCAGGATGAGAGCGTCCAGGGCCACACTTTGATTGAGAAAAACAATGTGCACCGGTGAGGGGGGATCAACGATAATGATTCTTCATGAATGAGAGTTCAACAACAACAACAACAACAACAACAACAACAACAACAACAACAACAACAACAACAACGACAACAACAACAAGAACAACGACCAACAACAACAACAACAACAATCATTCCGTAGCCATTTTGGATCAAGACTCTGGCCCACGCAAGGACCCCACGTAACGCAATACTTACACGACCCCCACGCCAGCACACGGCACATCGGAAGCTGCACCCGCCCGTGCCAGCGAAGCGCCGCCATGACCCGCGGGACCCAGCTCGACCGCCTCCCCGGGGGCGAGGGCCGGCGCGGCGGGTCTCGCTCGCAGGGCGCGGCCCCGGCCCCCGCGCCCGAGCTCCCGAGCTGCCGACCCGGTGCCGACGGGCCCCCGGGCCTCCCCGCCGACCCCGCGGAGGGCGGCTCGGGCCCTCCGCGCCGCGAGGTCCCGCTCCCGGCGCTGCACCGGCCGGGGTGCCAGGCCCCAGGGCCGCTTGCAGGCGTGCCTCCTGCCCGCGAGGGAGCGGCGGCGGGCGACTCGCAGGCGAGCGTCGCGCTGGCCTGCCCCGAGGAGGCCAGCGCCCAGAGCCGGCGCACGCCGCTCAGCTCCAAGGCCTACGCCTACGTCCCCACCGCCGTGCCCACGGCGGAGGCGAGAGCGCCCCGCAGGAGCAGGCAGGCTCCGAGGGCTCGGTGTGGGCAGTGGCAGGACCCGACCACGGTGATGATGCGCAACCTGCCCTACTGCTACACGCGCAAGAGGCTGATTGACCTGTTCGACTCCCTGGGGTTCTCAGGCAAGTATGATTTTTTCTATTTGCCCATTGACTTCGCAACT